TCCATGTCCCCCGTCGTGAGTCCCGTGTTGTAGAAGAAATTGGTCTGTTGTGCAAATGAGTTTTCATTTTTGTGTATGTGTAGAGTATCATCGTTTCACAATGAAGGCAAAAAAAAATTCCACTAATATTTGGTTGCTTTACAAACTAGCACTCCTTTACTCGCTCACACAGTGACTCTCTCACTAGATTCTCAGAACTGACCTAAACCTTTCTACTTTTCTTTCTGTCATCTTATTTTTCTCAGCTCTCCTCAAAGGAAGGCAGATCAGGCTGCCAGACAGTGACTGATCTCACTGCTCCCACTGAACCAGTTGCATCCAAGAAGAACCTGTTTGAGGCCGGAGACGCCTGGAACCAAAATGCCACCTCGATCACAGCATCTAAGGTTTATGGAAACATAACTTGTGTGTGTGTGTGTGTGGGGGGGGGGGGGTGTTGTTCCTTTATGTTTCCAATAATTTCCAAAATAATATATTTTAAACAGAAAACAGGAGGGAAGATTTCCTAGGGGAATGATTTTGATATTACTGTAATACATGATGTTTCTCACTTTCCTCTCAGGACGCAGATGCTCTAAAAGTGGGTGTTGCTGATCTCATCAACCAGTGGGTGAAAGGAAGTGAAGACGGAAGCAGATCTAGCTCCCCCTCCAAACCAGCCGTAAGTCATATCATTATTATTATTATTATTTCTACATGAATTACATTAAATTGATTACATCAGTTTTTAAACAGGTATTTTGCCCAGTCTTTATGTCTTTTTCCAACCAAAAATGGAAAGGCAACAACTACTTTAAAAATATACAAAACCAAAAGTTTAATTTATGATTTTAATGCATGCTGTTCATACGGTCGGTTTGGGTGGCTCAAAAGTCAACATTTACCAGGATGTCAGGATAATGTCCTCTGCTTCCATGTTTATTAATCCTCCCAGGAAGATTTCTATGGTTCTAAGAGCATGTTTTTGTTCAGATTTTGTCACAGTTAAAAAAAAAAAAAAAACCCACACACACAGCAAAAAGAAAAACTTCTTATTCAACAAGCTAGTGGTTAGTGCTTTTTACACAAAACTACTTCTTCTGCTTTAATGGATGTTTCTCTGAACATGAATATTTTCTTGCTTATAACACACTCTTTAAGTATCACACTGTTCACGGTGTCAGCTGCTATCAGCTTTTGTTTAAAGGGTACCCCATTGCTCATATTTTTTCATATTTCATATTTTTTGTCATTGTATATACTGCTATAGCAGTGGATGCTCAACTTAAACATACCCAAAGTATCATGAGGTCAGTGTAGTTTGTATAAATAAAACCAAAAGCTCAGACTTCAGACCTCTCTAAATCAGTAAATAAATAAGATTCATATAATGTGAATCCTTAAAGTGAATACAAAATAAAGTACAAAATAGTGAACCTTAAAAGAAGAAAAGTTTGATTTCAGAAGCAATGTTGAATTCTGCCATCTGCAAGGGAATGATGTCATGAGTATTTGGTAAAAGAGCAAATCAAACTTTGCCCCGCTGTTCATGTGTGTGTCATCTGCTTTCACTGCCAGGCTTTGCTATGCACATTGTTGTTTTTTCTACATTGATAGTGCTTGACATTAAGAGTGCTCAGCTATTCCCACATGGCAGTCTTTCATGCCAATATAATTTAAAAAGCCCATTTTTAAAAATGTTCGTCATCCTGTGACCTTAAAATGTCTTTTTTGTTGTTGTTCTTATTTATTTATTGTCAGATTCACAAAAATCTCTAAAATTAGCTATGATTCCGTTCCTATCATTATTTATTATTATTTTTATTATTATTGTCAGTTTCATACAGTTTCAGCTTTTTCCTCTATTCTCTAAATTTCTTACTATTTCTTATTCTTTAAAGTCTTTCAGTCCACATCATTCTCTGTTCTTTTCTACTTGAAGTTTTCGCTTCCCACTTTCTCTTCTGTCTGGTGTAAATCAGCCTCAGGTTTGCAGGCTAGGCAGTGAAAGTCTGCCCCCTCATGGCAACATCAGCAGCTTTTACATGTTGCTCTTTCAGACAGAGATACCAAAGTGTGGTTTGTTTACTGTTCCTGTTTTCAGGAAATCAACCCTGGTGGTGTTTTAAACAAGAAAAATTTATGGGAGAGCCTTGGAGACACGTTATCGTCTGGGAAAGAAGGAAAGGTACACGCTCACACGGAGGATAGCGGAACAGAAACTTTTAAACGTTTGTCTTGATCAATATTCTTTTATCTACTGAATTGCAGGAGAGCTCCACTGGCAAAAGATATAAATTTGTGGTGACAGGTCACGGCAAGTATGAGAAGGTTTCTGTTGACAGCGGATGCAGTGAGGACATAAACTGCCAGTCAGGTGAGAGAATCCTTTAACTAGTAATGCTAACATTAGATACGATGCACTATTGTAATGGAAAATGTTGGACACTTGTCATGTCGTAGCAGCCAGAATGTCAAAAATGACCCAGCTCAGTACAATTTTATGAAACAGCAAATAGCTTGGAAAAGTTAAAAATAAAAATAAATAAAAATAAAACAAGCAAAAAGGAGAAAGAAAAGGAGCTCAATAAAATACAAAATAGAAAATGATGAAGAGCTCAATAAAACACACAATAATCGAGAGATAGCTAATCAGGGAAAAAGTGATTAAATATTCTTATAGAGTCATAATAGAGCTGGGCGATATATCGAGTTTTTAAAACATATCGATATATTTTTATACGAGATATAAGATGTGACAATATCCTTTATATCGATATAGTCTATGTTACGTTATAATTATAGTTGTGGAGCCGCAAGTTTGCCTCTCTTTCGTCCACTTTTGTCTCTACGCAACGTTACTCCGCCTCGCCTTCACTGAAGACAACTCCCCCTCCTCCCCCATCGCTTCACGTGCAGGCAGCGACAAGACGGACACGGCAAATCTCCGTTAACGAGTTACTGCGCATCGCCCCATGCGTGGGGCTGGACGGCGTCAACGTGTTAACGAGCTAAACATGCTAACGAGCTAACCGCGCTAACCCTAAAATCCTTTCATTCTCTCAAAAGTTGATAGCGCGCCTTATGTATGAATTCTGGTTGTGCTTGATGGCCGCGAACCGATTTTATGTGGTACACGGCGCTCAGCAATCTGTCAAAAATGTTTGAGTACAACTTTGGTAAGCTACGGAGCTGCACCGCTTGATAGATTGTCGGCGCATTACGGCTACCGAGGAGCTTCGCGGAGTAATACGTACTGTGCATCAACGTAATATTACCGTATTGTGTGTGTATAAGGACCATAAATGGCACCTGTAAGAGACGTGGTTATGAAGCGGATTTCAAACTCCAGGCTATCAGTCACACAGTAAAACTTGGGAACAGAGCAGCTGTGAAATCTGTCTGTCTTTGTTATTACGCTCAGCGTCTTTTAGTTTACATTTTGACTGCACAATTGTGAGCTCTTTGTTTAGCACAAAAACAACCTTGTTTTCTTTTATTTATGGAGCATTATTATTGAATGCTCATAATTTAATTTTGAGTAATTTTTCATGTACATCTGTGCTGTATGTTAATAAAAGTGCCTGTGTGACATCTGGGACACAGCTTTGACTAAGAACTCTCTTTTTGTTCTTACTTTATGGCTTAAAAAAAATATCGAGATATATATCTTATATCGCCATCCAGCTAAAATATATCGAGATATGAATTTTGGGTCATATCGCCCAGCCCTAAGTCATAACATTGTGGGCGGGGCTCAAATGAGACAATCTATGTGTGGAATATTGATGGAAAATAATCTAGCTTAATTTTTGAGCAATGGGAGGAAGTACTTTTACAGTTAGTTTAACCATGGCTTTTCCACATACCAAAGCCTTACTTTTACTTTAAAATGTGAAATACTGGCTAAAGGTTTTACTGTATGAATCTTAAATGTAAGTTAGAATTAAAATTGGTTCAGTCTTGAACAATATTTACACTCAAATTTGGAAATTAAATTACTTAAACCCAATTGTCTGAGTAACACATAAAAGATTTGGTGCTTTTGCTCAAATGCACACTGAAACTTTTTTTTTAGCCCATTTCCAGAATTAATCACTTGACCATCAAATGTGAACTAATGTGTTATATTAGTCTGTCACATTTTCTCTATTTTTACCTGTTTGCATTTTTTTTCATCAAAACTGTCATCATCAGGAAACTGCCATCAGAAAAAAAAAAAAGATATTTTCCTGTTTTTGACCAAACGGGGAAGTCAAATGTTAAGACTTTGGAGGGGCTGAAAATAATAAGTATAACAGTGGAACATTCTAATGAGCTATCCTCTCTGATGTGCCGCCACTTGGAACTTTCACAGTATTTCCTCAGAGAAGGAAAAAAAAAAGAAAAATCCAACAGTTTCACAAAACTTTATATATTTTTAAAAATCACACAAAGATATATTAAGCATCAGCATAATAAATGGGTCTGTTTTTAGATTACGTGATTTAAGTCCCTTCAATGAAGAAATTCCACATCACAATGGTGATCTCAGAAAAAAACCCAAACTAAACAGATGTTGAATCCCAGTAATGTAAGAGAAAGATTTAAACAAAACAGCATCCTGTCCAGCACAATCCTATAGACAGACACGTGAAATATCACAAATCTACTCTTCACTCATTTTCCTTCAGTTTGTCTTCCTACATCAGCCACTGGTAAATGTCATCATCATTTACCAGTGGTTATATATATACATCCTTCTTGCAATTTAGTCAGAAGCCCTTAACAATTTGTAACAATGCAGAAAACTAATCCTCACCAATAAAACAGTTCATGTTGTTTTAACTATCACACTAGATGAAGATAGTTTATCATATCATCATTGTTTGGTGGAAACTATCATTCTCCAACATGCTCATACAGGAAAATATCTACTTTCATAGGTATCATTTTGTATTGTTGTATTATTGTAGGGGTTTTTTTTACCTTACAATAGAAAGCACATTGAGGCAACTGTTGGTGTAACTGACTTTGCTGACGGAGGAGCTAATCTTTACCATTATGAATTAAGAGTGATGGAAAAGGGATTTGATTCTGGGATGCCCCCAGCCTGAGCAATATATGATTAAGATATTAAAAAGAAAAAAGTTTTGAGCCATGCTAGCAGCTCTCTCAGACTGCACTGAGGCACAACAGTGTTTACGCTTTGATAACATTGTGACAAAGCTAGCACAAGTTTACCAGGCATAACACTTAACAGCCATAATCGTTTTAGTCTAGTGTGTTCGCATGCTAGCATGCTATTGTTAATTAATAAGCCATTATGTATGGTACTTTGGTATCTGAGAACTGGACAAAATAAAGTTTGGACCTAATGAAGTCCCAGACTTGACCATGACTATTTGTGGCAGATAAAAACAACGATAATTTGGTTGTGTTCTAACAGGGGCATTGATATCAGTACAAAATATATTGCTTCTTTACGTAGAAGGTGAAGATATTAGGTCAAGAACACCCTACAGACCACCGTACCATTGGAAGAATGGTCTATCCACGTCCTAAAGTTGCTAGCATGGCTAAAACCATAAACATTGCTCCTGTAGTTAACACAATATTTTTTCATTAATGCCCACCTCTGCAGTATGCCAACCTATACACTGATTGTTGTTTCCTGCCTTGCTTGAAAACCAACACTTTTTTCTCATCAATATCTGACTTACAGAAACCTACTTTTATTCTGACCACACGTTGAATCTTCATTTGTCTCAGGAAGTGTGCCTTCTTTCAAAATCCATCTGCCCTGTTGTTGCAGGAATGTCAAAGCCCTTTTTATTACACAGATAAACTGCCTGCCAGCAATGAATACTAGAAGCTTTAAATTGTTTAGAAAAATAGAAAAAGGTCAAGCATTACAAATAAAACAAACAAATCTACAGTCTACAATAAAAGCATTTAAAACTCCCAACTAGCCCACGATCAAATGAAAAAAGAAAAATTTAAGCAAGTAGATTTAGACTTTATAATGTGTTTCTTTAATATTTTTCCTCCTTTTTGCGTTATGTTTTATTTTGTCAAGTTTACTTTTTTGGTCAAGTAAACCTGCACTTCTTCACCACTAAGAGTACTTGAAAACATCTATTGTGTAGCAGGGATTTCTTTTCTTTTTTTCTTTACTTTTTCATTACTTTCTTTACCTTTATACTTTAAACTACACCACGTCAATGACAAAGTTCCAGCCTTGGGTCAAACACTTGTTGCAGCGTTGCTGTCATTTTGCATCCTTCATCACCTTTCCAAGAATAGTCAGCCAATGTTTTGTTTTTGTTTGTTTTTTTCAAATCACTTTCAGTGTTCTGTCTATTGAGTTATGAATTAGCGATTTGATATATAATTTTCAAATCATTATCATTTCCATCATTACATATCTGCAGCTTTTGTTGAACCAAATCCTTTGGCTGTTCTGTTGAAGTCCTTCCGTTCTTCCTCCTGAGATTTCCGTTTTATCAGCCCCCTTTCAAACACTGCTGCTATTTTTGTGAGTGGCTTCTCCACTGCTTCTTTCAGCTTCCTGGCGTCAAATCGAGGGCTGTACAGTAAAATTGGGAGACGATTGACAAATGAAGGAACCTCTGCCTGATTATCTTTAGCAGACTTTTTCTTGTCTGAATCAGTCTTGTTGGCGTTGATCTGGTGCATAATTCGCTCTTTAGTGGAGAACATCTGAAAGAGGAGTGCATCCCACATCTTCAGTGCTTTAGGACCTTCTTTGTTCGTAGCTACCTCCTGATCATGTTGGTCTGCTGTCAACTTGTTATCAATTTGTTCTATTTTCTTATTGCTGCCACTGGAATTAACCTGAGGTTTAGCCTCTGGCTCTGGAAACTGGGGTTCCTCTGGCTCAACGACCATGTGCTTCTTCAGTCGTGTCCAACCACTAAGCTTACTCTTAAGGCCTTTTGGCTTCTGGGCTGCTTTCTGCTCACTGGATGAAGGAGATTTTTCTGCTGCAACAGGCTTCTTGTCAGCAATTGAAGATGCAGTTGATGTCACTGACTTCGTGGAGGCTTCGACTATCGGGGTTCCTGTTGGTGCAGCTGGTTTGGACTTGAGAACATCCTTGCCTTTGAGTCCAGTTTTTTGCTGAGATAGCGGTGACGTTCCTCTGTTTGGGGATGGAGCTTTTACTGAGATTGAGGCCTGAGGCAGAGAGGCAGGAGTGGCAGAATCAATCACATCGGCTTTAATCATGGGTGGTTTCATGACAGTATCTGTTGCTGGATTTGTAGGGGAAATGCTCTCTACAAGTTGCTCTGTTATAGAATGAACACTAATAGTTGGTGAGCTAACCTGAGCCACATACTGGGGACACTTTGAGGATTCTATTTGTACATCTGAGGACTGTCTTGGAGACCCAAGACCGACCTGCTTAATGGGAGGTTTTGCTTCTGCTCTAGGTCCACTAAGCAGCGAAGAATAGCTGTGATGGGTGAGAATACTAGCGTCAGTGCTTAGTTGGGGGAGTTTTACATCTTGAGCTGAAATTTTATTGTGTTGAATTGGGGAGTTTATTTTTACCTCAGTGGCTGAAGTATCATTAGTTCTAAGGGGTTTTATTTCTGTTTTTGAGGTATTCTCTAAGATAGCAAATGGCTCGGTGGTTCTAGTAGGTGTATTATTTTGAAAAGCTGTAATTGGAGGGTTTATCTGATCGTTCATTATGGTAGTAGAGGGGTTTATTTCTGTCACATGGTTTAACGTCACAGAGCTTTGAGGGGACAGGGGTATGGTAGGAGTACATGATTGTTTAGGTGTATTACACACTCTTCTCTCTGGTAGAGGGGAAGGTTTAGTTGCTGTATTGGGGCTATGCGGGACTTTTAAATTACTGGTGGCTTCATTGAACCATTGAAAATTTGTAGCAGGCTGTTTATTTGAAGCACCATAAGATATTATAGGAGAATTTACAACACACATGTTAGTTTCTATTGATTTGTTTGTTTCAGTGGCAGAACTAAGTTGTTTCAGTAGAGTCTGAGAGCCCACTGAATTCACAGTCTGAGCATTATTTCCAATAATTTGACTAGATCTTGCCAGTTGTGTAGTTTGCTGCTCCATAGATGCGCAATATGGTGCAGTATGAACAGTACAAAGGGAAGTTGTTGTATCCATAGATATTTTAGAGTTTTTCAGTTTTCTAGGTGGAGTTGCTGAAGATTTATTGCTTATAACTGGCTCGCTGGAAGAGACTTGTTTATTCACATGGTTTCTAGTAGCAATTTGTTGTTCAGGTGTGTCAGATGATTTGCCAAACTGGTTACCATCAACAGAGCCACAAAGAGAAGTATTCATGACTGGCTTTATTGAAGATAGACTCTCAGATCTGTCATTTTTCATCTGAGGGCCTTTTGGTATCATATGCCTCATTGTAGGGCTAGGAGGCAATGTTTGCTTACCAGCTTGTGAAGCATTAAATATTGGATTACCACTCACTTCTGCATCTGCCGTTATTGGCAGGGCAGTTTCCATGTTAAGCCTGTTGGGGACTTTGGTTTCAGCAGGAGGAATAAACTGAGTATTGCTGTTCTGGAAATTGTTTGACTGTGTCTTTTCCCGTTGAATTGCCTCCAGATTTCTTAATAATCTTGGTGGAACTGCATCTGTGAAAGAGTTTGCATTTGGTTTGCTGGCTAGTTTGTTTTCATTTAAGGGTATGCTAACCGCTGTGGTCCCTTTTGAAAGACTAGGAGCAGCTTGTTTTGTTTCAAACTCACAATTTTCTTGCATGTTTTCTGTTTTGGAAATTGTAGTGGAAAGACATTCTATTGCCATATTATCAGTTAATAAACCTTCTCTCTCAGTGATGGCCTGTGGATGTACTTTGTCAACTGCTGAGTTTTTGTCTCTGTTAGCATCAGTATTAATATAATTTGTCAGTTTGGGTTCTGTATTTGCTTGGCTTGATATTACTCCATCTTTAGTATTAAGAACGATTTCAGTTGCTTGTTGAGCAATTACTCTGCTAGAGTTTGTGTAAAAACGTATCCCTTGAACAACATTACTTTGATTACTGGATTCTATAGTCTGTGTGTTTATATTTTTGCTAATATTTGTTAGCTTTTGAGGCTCTTTTGCTGGCACATTGAATGAGTCTGATTTTAAAGGGTTTTTGTTTGAAATCTTGGGTGACTGAATTATGGCGGTATGTAGGGCAGGAGGGTTTGGTTCTGTATTTGCAGACATATTTGATAACATGGGCAGACAGCTCTTATTTTCAACTGGTTGATTATGTGTATAAACCTGCATTTCTGCTTTGGGTGGTTGTATAAATTTGGGTCTTTGGTCAGCTACAGGTTGTGTGTAGATACTATACTCGGCAGAACATACAGATGCTGTGACAGGCCCATAGGATACCATAGATCTTGGGGCTGTGATAACTGTCTTCTTAGGGTGCATATTTAAAAAAGTGGGCTCACTGATTGATATATCAGGGATGCATTCGGCCATTAAAGGCATAATGTTCCCAATGTTTGTCTTAGTGGACACTTTAGTTTGCTTTTTGACATCTTCCCTTTGTTTGTGTAGTGTGGCTTCGGCAGGTATTTTAATCAACATTTTGTTGGACTGCTGCATTCCTGAGTTGAACTCATCATTAATTATGTCGCTTTCTGAGAATTTGGACTCTGTCTGTGTGGGAGGAGATTGAACTAATGGGTTTTCACAGTCGGACAGGTTTTTCTCGGGCTTGGCATTGATTTGGACATTTGGCAAACTGACTCCACCAGCAGTTTCGTAAGTTTGGACTGGACCTAGCTCTGTTTTTCCTGACTGGTCTCCTTTATTAGTCTGTGAAACTGGAGGTGTTTTATTGGGCTTGTAACCATTTTCTATAAAATGTACCAGTTTTGCTTCAGGGTGTGTTTCTGCATTTAGATGTATTTTAGTTAAGGCTGAGGAAGAACTTGACAAACCATTGTTATCAGTGAGGCATTTTAGTGCTGCCTCTACAGAAAACTGTGCCACACTTTGTGTGAGTACCTCACCTGCTTTAGGTATTGGTATTGGAGCCTCAGAGTATGAGGCTTTTGGTGTGGATACATCACTTGGGGATTGTTGTATTGTTTTCTGTGCCAAGCCAAGGGGAATCTCAGGTTTTACTGTGTCCACGTTAGATGTTTTAAGTGATTGCATTCCATTACTGTGAGCTTCAGACCAATTTTCCTCAAAGACATCTTTCCTACAAGATATAACCTGTTCAGCTGCATGTTCAGAATTGTTTGATGATGACACAGGTTGTAAACTGTGAACTGAAGAGGGCAGAACCTCATGTCCATTGAGCTGTTTTTCTGGCTTTGAGATATCTGAGCCATCTATGCATACATCTGAGTGTAGTTTATCGGCAAAGCTTTCATTATTCCTCGGGGATACATGGCTGTGATGTGATGTGATAGTCCTAATTCCACCATAGGCAGCATATTCAGCTGGAGTCAGCCCATAATATGTAGATCGTGATTTGGGCTTTGAATTTGCTAATGACATTTGACTCTCCAGCAGTGATGTCAAAGACTTGCGTGCCTCGATGACAGGAGGGCGATAGGTGGTGGACACTGGGCTGGAACACGGTGGTATTTGGACTGATGTCACTGGTGTAGGGTTAGGAGTCTTTGGCACGTAAAGAAATGATGGAATCTTTGGCAAAGACAAAGCTTCATTTCCAGAAAAGTGTCCTGCATTTTGTTTTGGAGTGACAAGTCCTGTTGGTGTTGGTTTGACCATGGGGATGTTAGGTACAGTCATTTTCTCTCTATGGCACAGCTCTGAACTGCCAACACTTAAATTTATAGAACTCCTCTGGGTATGAATGTCTACCTCTTTGTAATTGCTGGCTTGCTTGAAAGCAGACATGTTATTATTATGAGTCTGCCTTTGTTCTTCTGTGGCAGCTGGGGGTTTACTTATAGCACTAGTGTGAATCACTGAATTGTGTCTTGGAGCCTCCTTGGGGAGAGCAGGTACTTGCATATCTTCAGAAGAGCTGAATGCAGGACTTGCGGCAAATAAAAGCGGGTTAGGTTTTGATATTTCAAAAATGGGTGTGGATACTCGATTTGGCATGCAAGAGGGAGTCTTGGGTCTTCCGTGCTGTGTCCTAGAAAATGATGTGTTCTCCTCTGTTTTCACCACTGACACAGCTGTTTTCTCCTTGAATGTGGCAGATAATTGTGCACCATGGTAAGCTGAATGTATTGCTGTGAGGTCTTGGATGGAGGAAGGTTTAGAAATTTCATAAAATGTTGCCTTTGATGTATAAATCCTAGTTTGTGTGACTTCAGGCTTTGGCTCTTTCACTGCTTCAACAAGTGATATTTTTGAGGCGGTTACTTCAGGAGACATGTGGCTTGGAACAAAGTGGCTATTACTGGTAGGTCTGGCGGTCCAAGACGATATCTGGCTCTGAGGGTTGTCCTTTGAACCAGTATCGTTCTCCCTCTGGCTCGAAATAAAAGGTTGTGTGTGACTGTTGTAAATTGATCTCAGCACTGGAACAGAAGGTTGTTCTGCAGCTTGAGGAGGTGCCAGGTCTGGGCCATAGTGGGTGGCAGCTGGGGAGAGGGTCAAGCCATGAGTTGATATTTTAGGGCTGGACTGCAACATAGTGACTGGAGGGACTGTTGTGGCTGACCCATGGGAATTTTGTGTCATGTTTACATTGACAGTAGAAGAAAGAAGTGACGTTTTAGGCTTATCGGGTGGCAAGAGGGCTGGTGGACTCAAAGGTGGCATTGTAAAAGGAGTAGCATCGTCAAATAAGAAAGAGGAGCACTCATACAGCGGAGCTACCTGCTCGTCTACTGTCCTGATCTGAGCTGCAAGGGGCTGAGGAGGGAAGCCACCAGTTTGGCCATACGAGATACTCTGAGAATGAGGGAATGCAGATGGAGAGTAACTATAAAGGGAACCAAAGGGAAAACCAAAAACAGATGAATCAGCAATGTAGACTGAATCTGGTGTCTTTGGTGGGCTAGACTGGTCGCTGTGTTCGAGGTCTGTGCTTGCTTCGTTGACAGGCGACAAACAGGAGCGAAAGGGGATTGGCGTCTGTGTGAGGCTGCCTTTTTTCTTGGCTCTCTTCTTCTTGAGTTTCTGAAGTCTTGCGTTGTCTTTTCCCGGCTTTGGCAATAAGGGCGGAGGATATGGCTGGGAAAGGTCAGACTCCAGCCCGTTGCTGTAGTTGATTTCCATCAGCATTTCACACTACAAAACAGGTGACATACGTCAGTGAGAGATGATGGATTAGTCTAAATAATGCAAAAGAAGAGTTCTGACTAAGACTAGTTTGCTTAGTCAATATTTGTAATTAGACAAAGACAACATTTCCTCAAAAAAGAAATTAACTCTATAAAAACATCAAACAAATACTTTTGTGATGATGTTAGACATCACCATTGCTAAACACACTGATGATGAAAAAGGTTTTGGAATTCCCTTTTAAGGTTTAAGAAATAGACTATTAAGTCTTCAGAGCAGCTTTTTTTGGGGGTTTTTATGAGATGTTGCAATGCATGATAATCTCAGTCGCTGAACAGCTGCAAATGTTGTTTTTGTTCCACAACAAAGTTGACACAAAATGTACACATGAAGTGCCAGAAATATTATGAGCAACCTATCTTCATTAATTAGAGATAATAGGTGTTTGATAAAGGTAATTCATTCTACAAGTGTAAATGCTAATAATATGTTTGTTTGTTTTTTCCTTCACAGTTGGCCACTTCTATGAAGATTTGTAAAACGCATGTTGGATTTTGAAAGTACAATGCCACTATCACTTGACAATTCTCTGTATTTCTGCCTTTAGGTTGGGGAAAGTACTTAAATTTTCTGTTTCTTGTGGCACTTTGTTGTAATATTGCAAAATGTAGTGAAGCAAAAAGTAGGTCCTATCTCTGTTTATACTATATTTTTCTGTGAATGATATCTGATGGAACTTAATACATCTTTGACTACAGATAAATAAATTCAGTTACACTGAGTGCTGATGATTGATTATGGTATTTTATCTGTTTATAATTTTCTTCTTTTGCATTCATTGATTTGCTGCTTAGGTGCACTTAAAATCTTTTGCTGTGTGCCCAGAATTCATCTGCATGCTAGATTTACTGATTTAACCTCTGCGGATGGGCTCCAGGCCAAGTTTTCAGCTAGGTTTGGGAAACTATGAGCTCATATGACAGCAGGCTCATTAGCAGGTTTCATAACTTTTAATTGGGTCCTGAAGATGCTGCACAGTTACAAGAAGTGTCACTATTTGAAATAGAAAGGCATGTAAAGTCCTTCCTTAAGGCAAGACTGCTTTGAAAGGATGACAAACTGCTACTAAAAATAGTGTCTCAAGAAGACTGCAGGATTTAAAAATGGCCTCTGTACCAAATAAAAGTAAACCCAAGGAAGCTCACTGACACATACAGGAGGGTGACCAGATTCATGTTGAGGAGAGGGGTGGTAGCTTTGAGTCCATGACCAAAGTTTTAAAAAGTGAGAGGGAGTAAACTCGGCTGAAAATGATCAACCACTGATGGCACAAATGGTAAAGTGTCCTCACCTACATAACAACTTTTTAGCATTTGTGCTTGTATAGAGTGTTTTACAATGTGTTTGTTCATACAGTCATTCACACAACAATGGCAACAGGAACCATCAGGGGCAACTTTAGGTTCAGCATAGGAAACTTTGGCACAAAGAGAACAACTGAGGATAGATCTACAAATACAGCATTTCACGGATTATCTACTATACTGTCTAAGCCACACCTTACCAAACAGAATTAGAGGTCAAAGACTAAAACCATGATTATCAGACATACCTATAAAAGAAGCAAATTTAAGACGCAAATGAAAGAGAATTACTCTACAAAGTTGAACTCCGGCTTGAAACCGGCTTAGTTTCAGTTGGATATAATGTTGTTTTGTTGTGGACTCAAGCAGTCTGTGCTGCTGAGTATGAGCTGAATCGTTCCCTTTCCTCCTGAACTCTGGAGTATCTTTGGGTGGCTGCAGAAAATGTCTGCACTCTAATTTTAGTCTTAGGGAAATAAGAGCAAACATCCTGACACCGAGCACCTGCTGCCTGCTGTCCTGCACTCACTGAAACAGCCTCAGTCTGCTGGAAATTAATCCCAGGGCCAAATCCTCTGAGTTGCTCCCAGTGTGAGCTTAGCCTCATGTTTCGAAGTGATGATTTTTCTTAAATTTTTATTGTCCTGCTTGCACCAGTTTGGTCCGAAGAAAGCATCAGACGTTTAGCCCTTACATGAGCTTGATTTCCTTTAAATACGTTAATTGTAGCAAATCTTCTGTGAAATCTTCTGCCCCACCTTCAAATTTTAACACCCTGGGATATTTGGAAGGTCTTCTGCAAATGTTTATCATGAACCCCTGTTGTCAAAGTGACTCCTGCTGTCACAGTGACAAGAAGGCCAGCTGACACTCAAGAAGACCCCCTTTTAAGGCTCTGGGGTTGGACGTGGGAGGTCTCCAGAGCAGCAACTCAAAAGAGGAAAGTATAAGATTAGCTGCTTGCATTCAAACTGTGTCATGACCTCAATCTTTAAAGAGCTCAATTAGGCAAAATGGAGGCCGAGCATGACAATTGTTATCAGAGTGCTGCACATATTCGAAACACTTACCTGAAGTGTTAAGTGTTAGGTAGATGTTGTTTGTGTTTTATTGGTCAAACTGCAAAGCAAACAACATTTTTGTGTAAGAAAATAATTAAAGAATTAATTTAGACAAGAATAAATCTGTTGTTGCACAGTTTTGATTGAAAACTGGTTCGTGCTTTGATTTTTGCTGTCATAGCACAAAACTGCTGAAAAGTTCATTTTAAACTTTGCATTGCAAGCTTTCCTTCTCACGGATATTATGTCTGATATGCATCATGCGTTTAAGATTTCACATCGTGCACTTGTTGCTATCAAATCCCAGGAATATGTTAAAGAACCACCAGCTTGTCAATCAAACAGACACTGAGTTTGACTGGTTTACCTTCAGTGAGTGGCTGTCAGGACCAACTGCTCTCTGCTTGTTAATCCCAGCTCAGGGTGCCACAGGGCCGTCCCGTCCTGAAGTGAATTTGAGCCTTGGGGAGCAAGCTACAGTGGCCGTGGCTACTCCAAAAATAAAAATGTTTCCTGCAGTGTGTGTTGCAATGGCAGATGGGGGGGTTTCCATGCCACCTGAGATGGCGGAGGTGCCGCCCCTACAGGCAGCTGAAGGCCACCTCTACCTGAAGAAAGGTGGTAACTTTTATTTACAGCAACTTAGTCATCCGGGTGGACATCAGCTGGACTGGGGTCACTGGTTTGTAACCCACATTTAATTGTTGTTTACATCACAGCCATGCAATACAGAAAAAACATGCATGGTTACCTGGCTAATTAGTTGTCCACTATAATGATATGGTTAGTGACTCAATCATAAAGTTGTGATTAATAAATTAGTATGACAATCTTTTTTGCCTCTGAAAGTATAGATATAGAATTTACCACCAGAGGCAGTATTGTGCCGCACAGTGTAGCAACTATGAGATAGTATTGTCAATATACTTATTTATGTGAAACTGTGCTGGGATGCTGGTTGTTGAATACTGAGCTCTGATACCTGAAATTAATAACTAACTATCACTCAGTTTTAAAAGATGGGGTGGGGATATTCGGCAATTCACTGCATTGCAAATATTACAAGACCCAAGCAGCCACGGGAAACAAATCCGTTCTTTATAATGTGATTTATTTACAAAGTGAAAAAAAAAGAGGAACAACAAAACGGGAGTGTCAACACTTCAGGGTGAGCCAAGGCCAAAATAATAAACAAAAACAAATCTACACAAATCTTGCACCCCTGACCTTACCAAAACAAAGTCAAAAATAAAGACAGAGTCTAACCTCCTTAACTAATTCAAAACAGGAGAAAATGGGTGATCAAAAGAAAGGGCAGCTCACCCCTACCCACTCCACTTCCACGCTATTGTAATAACATGGTTCTGATCACTCCAGTCTAATTTCAGTTGTTGGGCGAAATTTTATTTGTGGTTTTTCTAAATTTAATCTTGAACGCATTTTTGCAGTTTTGTCTTTCTAGTCTGACCTAACTGACTCTTTTACTGCTACATCAATAACTGCGCTGTGCCCTGGAGCGGCTTAATTTTTTTGAAATCGCAATGGCACACTACCCAGACGACTCTGACTCAGACATGGAACTTACCTCGTTACCTATGTGCCAGATAGTTGAAAATGTGACTCCTAGCCTTAGCCAACAAGTGGTGGAGTTAAGAACTGAGGTGAATAAGCTTAGTGATTGTTCACGTGACTCACTGAACATACAGCAGAGTTTACTAAAGCAGTGGGACCAACTCACAACGGGGAGTTCTCCCCCTCCTGCTGTCCCACAGTCTCCTGTATTCCTCATGTTCCTGCGAGGGACAAAACTGAACCCACCAACAGTACCAATCCGTTCCTGAACACAACCCATTTCAACCTACAAATCCTTTCCTCCCATCTCACTCACTTGAGCTCAGCAGCACTTCCAGAGTAATTGCGGCAGCTTTACATCACGCCAAACTGGAGCCTCCTGTGTATGCTGGGGACGGCAAAGTGCAACCTGAGGACTGGTTAAATGCAGTTGGCACATACAAAGCCTCATTGAACCTAACCGATGGGCAATTGCTAAACGAACTGCCACACTTTCTTGCAAAAGAGCCTGGGAAATGGTTCAAGGCATTGAGCTCCCACATCACATCATGGGCTCAATTCTGTCAACTGTTTAAGACAGTTTTTCTGCCCTCCGACAACCAAGAACGCATCCTGAGAGGAATTTTGGATCATGTTCAGGCTCAGGATGAACCGCTCCCAACCTTTGTTGCCCACATGTTGAGTGAGTTTGACAAACTGAAGAGTCCTCCACCTGAAAAAGACAGAATCGACCTAATTAGTAAACATGCTCTTAAAAAATACAGAGTTGCCCTGTATGGTGCTAATGTCACTTCTGTAATGGACCTGCTGCTACGTGTTCATGAGCTTCACTCAGTGACCACAAAGACCACAGCCTGCTTTATGTGGCAAAGACAACTATAAGCCTGAACCTTACTGCTTCAAATGCTCTCAGCCAGGGTTCACTACACGCACCTGCCCAAACTGTAATACCCAACCTCATTTGCCACAACGAGCCTCAAACACCGCTAGGCATGGCCCAGTCCAGCCATTGCTGGTACCTGGCCCATCTGACCCTGGCCATGAAAAGGTGGAATTAAGCAGCACCACATTCCAGCCACAATACAGGCAGTCAGGAAACTACAGGAGGGGAGGACATTTCACAGAGGCCAACCTTCCCCCAGTTACTAACGGAGCCTCACACGCCCGATTCACTACAGGGTGGACACAGTCTGGATACTTGGAAGACAATTTTTCACAAGTCCACTGGAATACCCCACTAAGAACGAAAGTGAACTTCAATGCTTCATCTGTGGATGCTACCCTCGACACGGGTGCTTCCCTCTCGGCTGTACGAACAGATCTCATTCAAGTAAATGACTCTTACCCTAGAAAAACAAGTGAGTGGAATTGTCCTGCAGTTAACCTCGCCAATAATGCGCCCTGTATCCCTGACGGTGCTATTTGTCTCAATATTGGATTCATGAACAAAAACCTTTACCAGCGTTTTGCAATAATACCAGATTTGTCCTCTCCTTTCATTCTGGGAATGGATTTTATGGCAAGAGCTTCTGTTTCTATTCACATTCCCACTAGAACAGTCTACATTGAGGACATCCCCTGCCCACTCGCAGACAATGAAGAGGACCTTCAAAATGATTACTCACATTCACCTGGAACACTGATGTCTTTGGACTTGATTCGCTCAGACTTAACAGCCAAACTGTCTGAAGCAAGTCTCTCAGAGAACAACAAGGATGCTTTACTCAATCTGCTCAGCAAGTTTAGCTCCTTGTTTGATGGTCAACTTGGTCGAACGGCTCTCACTGAGCACGCCATAGAGACTGGCAATGCAACACCTGTCAATCTCCCACCCTACCGCACATCACCTGCTAAGAAACGTGTGATTGACAAACAAGTGCAACAAATGTTGAAGGACAACATCATTGAACCTTCCACATGCCCTTGGGCAGCTCCTGTAGTCATTGTAAATAGAGCTGCCGCGGAACCAAGGTTTTGTGTGGACTTTCGAGGGCTCAACCAAGTTACCTGAAAAGACTCTTATCCGCTGCCTCGTGTAGATGAGTCTTTGGACTTTCTGGCACGGGGAAAGTTTGTCTCGACATTGGACTTAGCGCAAGGCTATTGGCAGGTTGCTGTAGCAGAGGACTCGAAGCCTAAAACTGCCTTCATCTCTCACTGGGGTCTCTTTCAGTTTCGGGTGCTGCCTTTTGTGCTCTGCAACGCACCTGCAACTTTTCAGAGACTCATGAACTCTGTGCTTGCTGGCCTCATTTACAAAACATGCGCAGTCTACCTGGATGACATTGTTATCGCCTCACCTACCTTTGAACAGCACTTGGTGGATCTTGAGGAGGTGCTGGGCAGACTCTAGGCTGCTGGCTTGTCATTAAAGCTCAAAAAGTGCCAATTCTGCCTCGATGAATTCACCTTTCTCGGGTACCGCATCACATCATCAAGTGTTAAGCTCGATCCAGACAAAGTAAAGGCGGTTAAGGAGTTTGATACCCCAACCTCGGTGAAACACGTCGGTCAGTTCCTTGGCTTGACTGGCTATTATCGGCGCTTCATTCAGAATTATGCCTGCCATGCTGAACCTCTTCACGCCATCACCAGAAAGGACAATGCTTTCCACTGGGATGACAGCTGTGGAAGGGCCATGGACACTTTGAAGGACCATGTCACATCAGCCCCGATCCTGTCATTTCCAGACTTCAACCCCCCTTTTCCATTCACGCTGATGCATGTGACATGGGTCTTGGGGCAGTGTTGATGCAAAAGAATGACAAGGGTCGTTAGTATGTTGTGGCTTTTGCTAGTCGCTCCCTTCACAAAGCTGAACTACCCTACTGCACTTCAGAGAAGGATTGCCTTGCTGTGATATGGGCCCTGGAACACTTCCGCCCATATGTTGAAGGTGTTCATGTTACTATCTTCACTGACCACAACAGTCTCAGGTGGCAAAACCCAACGGGCCGACTCGCCCGCTGGTCATTTCGCTTGCAGGACTTTGATTTCACAATAGTGCACAAACCGGGTGCACAAAACAAAGTTTCCGACGCACTGTCACGCAACCCTTTGCCTCTGACCTGTGACAGGCCGACTGATCTTTTACCAGATCATGCTGTTATGGGCAGCCTGGACATTCGTACTCTGCCCCCCGTCATTCTGGCTGACCGTTCACAATTGAGACAGCTGCAGTTAGACGATCATGTCACAGGTCCACTCCTCAGAGACATTGAAGCAGACTCTCTGAACAGCTCGGACAGTGCCACCTTGTTACAGTATGTTGTGTATGACTCTCTTTTGTATTACAGAGAACCCAAGTCCACATGTGCTTTGCACCCTTTGAAAGAGCTGAAACTATTTGCCCCTACTTCCATGAGAGGCACCTTGCTGGACTATTACCACTCCACAGCAGGTCACTTGGGTGTGACATTGGCTAGACTGCGTTTTAGGTTTTTCTGGCCCAAAATGGCAGCTGATGTGAAACGCTATGTGATTTCATGCTCAGTGTGCCAACTCACCAAGCCAAGTCAGAAAAAAGCAGCTGGTCTTATGGTTCCCATTGTCCCCCAGAAACCCTGGGAGTATGTGGGTGTGGATTTTGTTGGGCCACTTCCCCGCACCCCCACTGGTAATGCTTATTTGATCGTGTTTGTTGACTAAATGGGTTGAAGCCAGCACTGTCAAAGAAGCTACATCTCAGGTGGCAGCTGGTAAATTCGTCACTGACATTTTTGCTAGACATAGTACACCCACTTACGTGATTTCTGACAGAGGTTCTCCTTTTGTGAGTGAGCTTTTTGAACATGTTGTTTCTGCCTTAGGCTCGGTGCACAGACTCACTACGGCATATCACCCTCAGACAAATGCTACTGAAC